GCTTAACCACTTGGCCCCAGGGCCAGCCCCTCTGGTTCCATTTCTGAGATCCTTTAAAAGACACTTCAGTAATGATTGGCTCAGTTTTCTCATCACTAAAACCAGGGTAGTACCTGCCTCCTGTACAGCTTTGACTCAAAGTAGGTGTGAAGTGCTTATGCTCAGAATCTGTCCTCTTCAAATTACACATAGCAAGGCACAGGATTTTGACAAGCCATCCTGCCTAAAAATCTTTCCCTCTCCTCCTGAGTCAGCCTCCCCTTAAACTCTTGTCATAAACATCACTCATCTGAGTAAACTAATTGACCATCCTCTCCCAGAAGCTCCAGTTAAAACATTACTATGTTAATCCAGAAAGGATAACCAGTTAACATATTGCTACACTGTCAGTAACAAATTCCTCTGGATGGTAGGATTGGTAAGGATGAAGGGATTAGCATGAGGGGTCCACAAGGCAAAAGGCAAAGGGTATATAGTGAATGGTACCCAAAGGAGGCAACCAAGGTCATTTTCACAACTGTATTACTCATCAGCCCACCTGTGACATGACACGGAGCTAGAGAAACTGGGTGAGGAAGGAAGAAGGTGGAAAAATTGGTGAATGACAATACCAAAAGGAGGTCTGCCTGAGGCAATTCCAGCCTGTCGCAGCATACCCAAGGTGTATGTGCTGAACACAAGAGCTCATCAGTCACTTTCTCATGAGGTCAGCTTGGTGCTGGCCCTAAGACTTTTTTTTAAAAATCCTATTCTAATTTCAGACAGGTTCATTTCTTCTTATTTGGAAGGATTCGCCAGTTACTAAGATGGAACTGGCCTGATTCCAAGGCTATATAGTGTGGCAGCTTGGAACTTGGGCTCAAAAAACTGCAATATTTGAGTTTGAAACTTGTCCTTGGCATTTCCTGTCTGTGAGATCTTAGGCCAGTGGCTTAACTTCAAGCCTCGTATTCCTCACGTGAAAAGTGCGTTTGTCATTTAGCACTGTCGTGAGACAGCAATGAGCTATCGCAGGTAAAGAGCTTAGCCCTGTGCTAAGATCAGCTATGTTTATTATTGTTATCATCGCTGTTTTAAAGCATTGTGTATTTTCTACATGAGCAATTAATAAGCCGGGTCCAGAATTCAGCTGTGATACCCACTCATTGCATTGAATTTGCTTATATCAAAATTAGGCCAAATCCCTTGATTTAGTCTGAAGGTTAAACCATATCTGCATCAAATCAGAGACGCAAAAGGCAATGAGTTTTCTGGGACATCCATTCCGAAGCATCAATGCCCCAGTAGAAGGAAGTTCAAGTTCCAAATGATGAATTTACATCATCAAGAATCAAGGGATTTGTGACAAGAATAGCTTAAATGGATCTGGAATACAATCTATTATTCCTGTAACAGATTATTATTGATTCCAGCCTTTGCTTAAAGTAATTTAAAAACAACAACAAAAACTATGTGCAGTCTTCTGAGCTAACTGGGCAGCCAAAATAAGGAATTTAGGTGTGTTTAAAAAATTAAGGGAAAGAATTAAGACTATTAGGTAATTCTTGACATGGAGAATATGCACGCAGAGAATCAAGTTCACAGAAAACTATGTGAAACATTTGGAGTTATTTGGCAGAAAGTGATATATAACTTTAAATGATCATCATCATCATCTCAAACAGTCTACAGTTTTCAATGATAATCACTTGATCCCTACTGGGCATTCCTAAGGGGTCTGAAAATGAGTACTGCAATAAGTCGGATGTTTTCTTTTTAAACATGATCACCATATTGTACACTTGATACTTGTGCTGAGAGCTCAGATCTTGCCTTTCCCTAGTATAATTTTCATCTAAGCATTCCTTAGGTACTTAGATCATTCTTAATGGAGATTGTGCCTTATACCCTCTGTGGACACATGGAAATCTGGTTAATTGGACTGACTTGATTAGTCAGTGAATTTTCCCGTTTCCTTCCACTCCAATAAAGGCTTAAAATATTTTTGTCACCTATTACGTAAATATTTTAGATTGCAATCATTTTTTAAAACAGTGGGTATACGCAAAAGTCATTTTGCCATTCTGCCCACCAAACGGAATTCCTATACTTTCAAAATACAATTCTTTTCTCATTAGTATGAAAACTGTGTCCTAATAGAGTTTGAACCCATAGCATGAAGAGCTACCTCTTAAATCCTGCAGCAACTGCAACTGAACATGAGCTTTGCAATAAAGCAGTCTCTTTCAGCCCCAGTAAGCCCATCAGGATGGCACAGCTTTTAACAAAGGACACACGAAGTGACGGAATATCTACTCCCCAAGACCAAATATCTGAAAATTAGAAAATACACTTTTATTTTGAAAGCATCTTGTTTGCTGTCAAATGTTTTATCTCAGAAATACTTTTTAAATCATTCCCTTTCTTGGCCAAAATAAGGTGTCTCACCAATGATAAGTGGTAGGATGAGTAGCTAATTCCAACGGTTACTATCCCCATATATTACACCTGTCAAAAGTCTTTAAACTCTAATGAGTCAGCTGCCTGAAAATACACTCCACAGTTCCATTTGAAAGTATAAAATTAAGTGCTGAATGGGAAAAAGTTTACCCTCAGTCCCAGCGTAAATTAGGGCAGAGAGGAAGCAGGAAAGCACTCCAGCTACTTGCAGCAGACACAAACATGTGCTTGACCTCTACTGGGCATGGTCCCCTCTTAGGATGAATGTGCCTACCCCTAACACGAAAATGTTGGGGAGTTGGGGAGAGGGATAGAAAAAGGAGGAGGATGTGTCCATATGAAAGACCTGCCCTTTCCTCCCAGTGCATACAAGAACTCCTCTCTTTCCTAAAGACATTTCTAGTTAAGGAAAATGAGACTGCTTCTTTGAGAGGTAGCTCCTGAATGGGAGCGGACTCCGAGAGGCGGGGCGTCCTCCTGCCCTCTCCAGATCCTGGCGAAATCTCTCTGCTGTGAAGCCGTGCTGGTTACTCTCTGAGGGGGCACAGCCCAGACACAGAAATCTGAAATTTCAAAAATGCGATAAAGCCCGAGCCCAGCAGCCCTGGGAGGCAAGCAGCTGCCGGGTGACCGCTGATGAAGTGGCTTCTTAAGGAGGTGGGCAGATTGATTCCAGCTGCTGAGCGCGGGGCAGGGCAGCGGCCGCGGAATGCGCAGCCGGGCTGGGGCTGAGGCGAGACGCAGCAGCAGCAGCTTCCCAACCAAGGGCAAGGCCAAATATTAGCTGTTCGCAGGCTTCGCCCGAGAGAAGGAAGAATGCCATTGTTCCATACGATAGGGACTTTCACGGCAGGCTGGGCTAAAAGGTGCTGTGTGGACAGTGTCACTTCATAAGTGTAGTGTCACTCAGGAAATCTGAAAGCTGTCCCGAGTCTTCTGTTTAGAAGGGGCCCGCATTTCCTAAGGCAAAGCCTTTCTCCCCCAACCCACTCTCAGCTCCTTGCCCTCTTCTAATATCTCTTAACCCCCTCCCAGCCGCCTTTGCTACCCTCAACACACACAGACACACAGAGAGTAACCAATACACAAAAGAAACAGACGAGGAAGGGGTGCGGTGGAGAAGTGGGGGACATTGAAAACCCTGGAACTGGCCTGGATGGAGACCAGACAAGAGGACAGGCTCTTTAGAAGTGTGACCTCAAAGTCAGAGAGCTAAGGGGGAGGGACTAATTTAGGGGTCCCCTGAGGGCCCCAAACTCAGACACCGAGAGATCTAACCAGAGGGAAGGGGTAAGATGTAGGCGGGCATGAAGGCGCGCCTAATGGAATATTCAATATCCTGCGAAATGCACTTTCGGCCGCGCACTTCCAGAGACTAAAAGCCAGTAATGGGCTCTGGAGTCTGTACTTCCTCTCCCTAATGTCCAGAGGCGCTTTAATGCTGCAGCCAATCGATCAGCCTTCTCCGGTGAAGGCGGCGAGAGGAGTGCAAAAGCTTCCTACTTGTGGCCCAAACCGCCCGGCCTCCTCTGCACACCTCGAACGAGCGACACACAACTTTGAACTGGCAGGATCTGGCTCTTAAAGTACCCGGGAGGAGGACAGGAAGGAGCCTGGAGGCGCCCAGAGAAACACACTCCTCCCTCTTCATCCCAACTTTTCCAGGGAGAGGTTCAGAAGGAAGACAAACATGGAGGGGGCATCATCCACCCTGGCACAGAGCTGACCACCGGCACCAAATCTGCTTTAGGTGCAAGGTTATCGAGCCCCCTCCAAGCCCAGGGGAGCCCAAGGTGTGGCATTTCTGGAAGGGACACAACGAACATCCAGAAAGTGGGGTTTCTTTGCAATTTCTTGCTGACATCACAGTTGCCTGGAAAGTGACCCTGTGAAGAAACCTCCCCGCCACCCCCCTTCCCGGAGGCCGGATCCCTGCAGCAGAAACGTGCCTCTGTCCCGCCTCCCTCCGCCCCTGCGCCCTCCCCTCGGGGCTGGGGTTCTGGGCAAATTCAGCCCCTAAATTGAACCCAACCCTGTCCAGCCTCCTGTCGCCCCTCCCCGGGAAGCTCCGGCGGCCCGACTGAGCATGCCCCGTGGCCTGGGTCCCTGGGTCCTCAGGCAAGCTCTCCAGGCCTGGGGATGGGCAGGGTTGTGTCCCAGCGCGGGTGACCCCACAGCAGCGCGCGAAGGAAAGACAGCGCGACTGCAGCTGGGTGCGAGTGGCCAAGTTAGCGGACGCGACAAAACTTTCCGCGGTCCTTCTCCCCACCCCCATGCCACAGGGGCGCGTCTCCCCGAGGAGCTCGCCTTTCCCAGCCCGGCAGAGACAAGCACAGCACGTGATGGGCAGAAATAAAAATAAACACTTCCCATTCCCGGGCGGCGGGGGCCACCCCCACTCCGCGCGCCGTGGCGAGCATGGGGCGCCCTGCACGGACCAGCCCCTGTCGCCTACGCCCGGAGCCCCCGGCCCCCGCGCCGCCGCCCCGATGGGCACCCCGGCCGTCCGCCCAGAGGGGTGGCCTCGGCTCTGGCCCGCCGCGCCGCGCCCTGGCGCCTACCTTTCGGATTTGGTGAACTTCCGGAATGCCTGTCGGAGGTCGTGGAAGGACCTGTACGTCTGCGGCTCGGCCGAGATGCCCTGCGCCCGTGTGGTCCGGGGGCCGATGTGGGTCGAGGGCACCGGCAGCACCGACTGGCATTTGTGGAGTTTCCTCTTCAGCTCCTGGATTTCCTCCTCCTTCTCTGACAGCCGCTTTTCCAGCTCTTTGATCCTCTCTTCCTTGAGCATGAGAATCTTGGCAAAGTCTTCCTCCAGCTCGCTCATTTTTCCCTGAGCCCCTCCGCGAAACTTTTTCTCGGGCGGCTGCGGCGGCTGGGACAACAGCCGGGGGAGGCGAGCGCGGAGCGAGGGAGTGAATGGGGCGCGAAGTACTCTAGCGCAGCAGTGTGCTGCCCCGAATGTGGCGCGAGGAGCCGCTTTCTTCGATCCACTTCTGCTGAATGGACTAAAAGCGCCGAGGGGAGGATGAGAAGTCTAAAAGCGATGGAGAGGAGAGGCAGAGTGCTAATCCCTAGCCTCTCCCGGGAATAGGTGATTATCTTTCATTGAGAAACCAATTAGAGCTGCCCTTCCTCCCCTGAGACCCCCTCCCCCGTCCCCCTTTCCCAATCACTCCGTGAGAACACAACACACGCGCGGGCGCGCCACCCCACTGAGAGCCGGTTTCTAGCTGGGAGGGTTGGATCAGAGAGCCTGGTCTTACCCCATCACACAATAATCACTCTTCCACGCTATATGGTACCAAAGGAAAGGGGTGGGATGGGGGGGAGCTTTATGCCACTTGATCCTTGAAATAGCAACAATTACCATGTGATCTGGCAGATGACGCAGCGCTTGTAACTGGAGCCTAAAGACTTTGTGGGGTGTGTGTGTGTGTGTGTGTGTGTGTGTGTGTGTCACACTTCATAGATATCAAACTGCCTTTAGACAATAACTTGCATAAATTCATCTCTGTTTCTACCTTTACCTTCTCTTCTGCTCTGGATGATAAGGGAGGGTGCGTGCTTCTTACTGGGAAGTCCCGTGGTTGTGACCCCAAGTAATAAGAATGACAGGGCAACAGCAGTTCCAGTTTTTTCAGCATACAATTTTATTGGAAATAGTGAACTAAAATCGTTGGTGGGGAAGATGTATGAACATGCATATGGTAATAAGCGAAATGTTTACCAAAAAGAGAAAGGCCAGGCGTTGATTGTAAACTTCCGAAAGTCTGGATTTTATTTCATCTGCTACAGTTAAAACTTGTATATTGAGCATCTAAATTATATCACAACATCGTCGTCCATGGTTGTGAAGTGGCAGCCACCAGTGCTAACTTGCTAGTTCACCCTACCAGTTCCAGTAATAGGGCGAAATTGCGTCTGTAATCCATATCTCCCCCTCACGTTTGCGTCCATGACCTCGCGCTATGATAAAGGGATTTTTCTACACACTTGAGCCCCAGTATTTGCTAATTCCTATGCTTTCTTTTTTATATATGTATATGTCACAGAGAGCATTTTTCATAACAGAAATCACTGTTTAAGAGTTTATCTGGATATGTGGGAGGAGTATTTCTTCAGGTAATGATCAGCAAATTAGTAAATCTTTTTTTAAGGGAAAAAATAGATGCAAGCTAAGATACCAAGGCATTTTCTCTGAAGTAGTAACTTGCCTTAAAAAGAAAGATCAATGTATAATCACTGGCTACTTGTTAAAAAAAAATCTTTCTACCTTGTCTTAAACATCTAAGTAAAGGAAAAGCAGGCATATATTTTGGTTTATAAGTAAACCTTAAAATATATTTTATTCTGGAGATTTCTTTATTATTTACTATAGTTCTACTCATCTGATTATTTTAAATTAAAAACATTTAAACCACATCTGAATTTCTTAATTGCATCAGACGCCCAACACTGGCTTTGTCTACTCATCTCTGAGAAACGGTTCTCTGTCTTGTCGATAGTTCCTAGTCTGTTGCTTCTACCTATGAACAACTTAATGTCTACAATCCTTCTAGAAACACTCAAAATAACTGACATTTAAAAATAATATATTAGAAAAAAACTATCACGTTCAAAAATCTAGGCATAGGTTCAACTTTCTTTATGGAGGAGATACAAATAGCTTTAAATGACTTTTAAACAGACAGGTTTTTTCAAGTCTTACATTATCTTAAATGTAAATATTATTCAAATATGTTTCTCCTGCTTATTAAAAAAAGAAGAATTAAACCAAGATTTCACACACCCACCTCAAAATTCTAAATTCATCCCTATCTTCCAAAATTAATCTTATTTTTGAATAAATCAGTTTTAACTTAAATGTTGACACCTAGTGACATTAAATCTTGTCCACTAGCTTAAGAAATATTTAATTTCCAGCACAAGAAATGCCTAAGACAGCCTAGTAGAAGAATACACATTAAATTATTAAAAATCATAGCATTTTAGAGCTGAAAGCGACTTTGAAGATGATCTAACCCAACCACCTCATGTTGTAAAGGAGAAAAATGAGATCTTGAAAAGTAAAGTCCAAGATCGCCCAAGGGCAGGAATTTGGATCCAGGATTCCCAACCCCCACAAGGGGTGCTTTCCCTACCATGTTGCTCTAGCTTGAAACCTGAAAATCTATAAATCCTACGATTCTGACAATCTAGCGTTCAAAGATATGACTTTACCCTTTGTAGTTTGCTTTTAAATCTGTAGCAGTGAGTTTCAACTGTCAAAGTAAAAGTACGCGTTAATGAAACCTTAGGGTTTTTTTTTTTGTTTTTTTTTTGTTTTTTTTTTTTTGCTTAAAGGAGAAGGTCGCCATCTAGTGCCCTTGGAGAAATTTGCTAAATAAAAATCTTAATCACAATCAAGTGAGGTTATGTCCTTCAATACCTGTAGGAATGTTTTCATGTTCCATATTTGAAAGAAACAAAGAAAATATGCAGAATTTTGTGTCAAAAAGGAAACATTTTTTAAAAATTGAAAAATCTTTTAGCCACTGAATAATGGCAACAGTGATGGTCAACATTTACGGAGGTTCAATACGTGCCAGCACAGGGCTAGCCCTTGATGCGACTGTTTCAACCCCCGCGATGACTCTATAATGTACGTACTATTTTATTCATTCCTATTTCACAGACGGAGAAACTGAGGCTTGGCCAGATTAGCGGTCACAGCGCCCAGATTTGACGCAGGCTGTCAATCCCCATGTGGCAGTCTTCTACCTGAAATGCATTAAAATGTCCACTTCCCTATGAGCCCAGTGACAAGCAAAACTAAAAGTTCTTTGTTCCTGAGGATAGACTAAATTGAAAATCCCATATACACCCAGATAAGTTCCTAAGCCTCTGGCTTCTCAACAATCAATCTCTTTACCAAAGTTGTTTTCCTTATGGTACTTTGGGATATATTAGACATTTCATACACAATTTCAAATGTGTTTATAAAAACTACATGTACCTTCAAATGTTACGATGGTACTTTGCCTCTCCACCCCCCCTCAAATAAGGAGCACTTTCTGAAGAACCTGAAGCCTTATAGACATGAGTAGCTCATGGGGGATTTCTGTCCTTCAATCCAGGTCATTGTCATAGGGGGCAATGGGAGGACAGTGTCTATAAAAAAATTTAAAAACAATAATAAAACTGACTAAAAGAAAGTCTGCTTTTTATTATCACTATATGCCGGGAGCTCTAAACCAATGTCAGTGATAAAATACTCCTCCCCCAAAAAGCGTTTTATTGGTCTAAGGTCCAGCAATTGCCTTTGAGCTGATAGACCACTCCCATCGCCCCACCCCTGGAACAACACTGATCTTGGCTCATGTTACAAAGATCTGGAACAAAGAAAATAGTCATGCGCAGATGCTTTGAATGAGCTCCGATGGATGGCAGAAGAAAGGTTTGGGGAAATGAAAATAGAGACAGGGGTGCAAGCTTTAGGAATGGGCGGTGGGGGGGGAGGCTAGTTTTCACACCATCTCTCTATTTCCAATAACTTACATCCAAACACTTCTCTTCTTTACAAAAAGGGCAGTGTTTTGGAAAACTGCATGCAATACATTTTCCGTCAAGGGACACAACTGGTGAACTAAAAGTATTGGACTTGGAACCAAAAGATCTGTATTTATGTCTCAGCACTTTCCAAGCTCTGTGCTCTTGGGCCAATCCCTAAACTTCTCTGGGCTTCACCTTCCTCCTTTGTAAAATGAGGAGTGGGAGTGACCTGGGATCCGTTTCACCTTAGACCTTCAATGATTCTATGGAATTCTGCTTTCCTGGTGGCTCACATTTTGAAATTTTCAGTCTCTTCTTACAGACAACTTCCATCCATGAACTTCAGCTGAGTTTAAAACTTTGAGAAGAAAGAGTTAAGATGGAGTCTGGTTGGTCCTATAAAGGTTACAGTGCACTTCGTGATTAATAGCAGCTTAGGGCATTTTCAGTTAATTCTACATCATCCTAGATGTGGCTTGCACACTGTTGCCTAAACCAGGTTTTGGTCTGGTCATACCTTGGGCAAGATAAAAGCTTGAAGTCCTAAAACATACCCACATCTGTATTAACCACTACACAGGACATAAAAGTAGCAAATGGGTTGCCTCCGTTAAACTTCAAAATTAATAGTTTCCATTTGCTAAATTTACTTAATGAATCATGAGTTATGTTTTTTGAAAAATAAGTCTCTACAGAAAAACGTAGTGCTTTCCACCACGTGGTCCTATTGGTGTAAATACAGATTTTTCTTTCTGTTCTTTTTTTTTTTTTTGAGGAAGATTAGCCCTGAGCTAACATCTGCTGCCAATCCTCCTCTTTTTGCTGAGGAAGATTGGCCCTGAGCTAACATTCGTGCCTACCTTCCTCTATTTTTATATGTGGGACGCCTGCCACAGCATGGCTTGATAAGCAGTGTGTATGTCTGTGCCCAGGAGCAGAACCAGTGAACCCTGGGCCACCACAGTGGAGGGCACGAACTTAACTGCTGTGCCACCGGGCCAGCCCCTAGAGTTCTTTCTTAATGCTGCATGCAACAGGAAGTCCATTACCCTTTAATATTTTCTTTGACATCTGTCTACAGGTCTGAAAAAAACAATTCTTCCTAGAAATTCTGAAAAATAAAACTAAGAGATGATGGTACTTAAATATTAGAGAAATCAAATTCTGTAGTATATGTAGAACCTTGGACCTCGAATATGGAGACAGAGATGCTATTGGACTTCAGACAATTAATTTCATCTCCCTGAGCCTCAGTTTTCCCACCTATAAAGTGGAGATATAGATACTAAATTCTCTTGCACCTAGTTCTTTCAGGCTCAAATTAAGCAGGATGAAAACAAGATGTTATTTAAATGTGACCCTATATAAATAAATATTTAAAAAATGGCATGGATCCCCTGCTTTGATCCTTGGCAGGAAAGTAGCCCAGCAGAGAATGGAGTGGACAGGGTTGGTAGTGGTGATGGTAATATTTATACTACATTCACCCTACTCACTTACCTGTTTTAGCCCCCAAGATTCCCACCGTCTGGCGTACATGCACCTTCTCCAGTTATTCAAATACTAATCAAGGTGCTATTGTGAAGTAATTGTGTGGATGTAATTAAGGTCCCAAGTCAGTTGACTTTAAGATCACCTGAGTGGGCCTGCCCTAATCAGGTGAGCCTCTAAAAGGGATTGGGGTCTTCCTGGAGACAGGGATGCTAAGAATGACAGGGATTTGACTTGAGGGAGATTCTCCATTGCTGCCTTTCAAGACAGAAGGGGCTACATGACAGAGAAGGCAGATGGAATCTAGATGCTGAGAGGGGCCATCTACTGACAGCCAGCAAGGAAATGTGGACCTCCATCCTACAACAGCAAGAACTGAATCCTATTACAACCACAAGAGCTTGGAAGAGGACCCTGAGCTCCAGATGAGAATGCAGCATGACTGACCTCTTGATTTTAAGCTTATAAGACCTTAGACAGAAGACTCAGCCATGCCATGCCCAGACTTACCTCCAGGACTGTGAGATAATATGTGAGTGTTGTTTTAAGTCTCTAAGTTTGTGGCAATCTGTTAGACAAGATAAAACTAATGAATTACTCTACTACCATTAAAAAAAAGTCCATTAAAAATTCCAGAAATGCTTTACCAGCCCGAGAAACCTGATTTCACAAAAAAGTCATTTTTAGTGAAACTGCTTTAGTTCATTTCAAATGGATACTTGGGGATATACAAAGTTGCTATAAATCATAAACTGCTTAAAGCACACTGATGACAATAGGAGTAGCCTTCTGAGTATGGCAAACTCTCTTCCATAAAAGAAATTTATGTTTAAAGTAGTGCCTTATAACGACTAAGCATAAATCCTCCCAACAATAGGGCTCCAGGAAGAATTGGAACCATTTACTAGTTTAAATTACTACAGGGCAGAAATGTAACTGTAGTTTACCTTATGTAGTGACCTTGAGCCAATTATTTCATCTGCTGAGCCTCAGTTTTCTCATCTGTAAAAGAACAATAATTCTTTCATAGTACTATGTGTTTTTGATAATGTATTTGGCTCTTGGAATACACTTAAATAATCTTGGATTTTTATTAATTAATTGCATATTTCCATAGTCACCTATGGAAATTAAGTGCCCCTATATCATACTGCCATCCACATTTAGATACTAATCAAATATTTGAAAAGAAGGGTGGGGAAAGATTACAAATCTTTTTCGAGTTTAGTTTTTTATTTGACTTGATTTTTTGCTTTGATTTTTAAAGTGAGAGAAACTGGACTCAGCTGCTTGGAACATTTTTTATAAATTGTTATAAAATTTGGAAAATAGATGCATGTGATGTAGAATTCAAAAAACACCCAAGGGATATACAATGAAAGGTCAGTCTCCTCATCGCTGCTCTCCAGCCACCCAGACCCTCTTTATGGAGGCAACCGTTCCCTATTACTGTTTATTTTTGTACCTCATTAAGTAGTACATTCATATATAAACGTACTTGTATATAAAAACATTTTACACAAATTTAACACAAAATATTTAATTTCTGGTTTGTACGTTAGCCTATTGCCTAACTTAGTGCTATTATTTCCTGACTTTCAGAACCGTTAGTCCAATGCAACATGATACAACTGTCCCATTTTGTGACAAAGTGTTCAGTAACAAGGAGAAAGACTGCTGAATTCAGAGTGTGTACCATTTCTTCACATAGACATTATTTATAGTCCTTACCCTTAAATAATGTGACATTTGTTGGTTTATTAAATATTTTTAATCAAAACTCAGAATGGCCTGATATTTTAAGAGAGAAAGCCAAATATTATTACATGTGTACATTTTTAAGAATATGACAAAATCACCTCTGGTATTAATTCTCACCACCTGCTTTTGGTTGACGGAGACACTCATCTGTGCTTACCTCAGGTTATTGCAAATTACCAGTTCCCATGTAAAAAAGCTAACAAACCATTACAAGGCATAAGGGGCACTATATTTTGACAGTCTCTCAACCCTTTATAACTATCATGATTTTTTTGGTCTGTAATCAAGACCGCATAGTTAGCTCAATAGTTCATTTACTATTTCTGATCCAATGAGGACACATTTATTTGGAAATCACTTTCTCAAAATGTCTAGTCATTTATTATAAAAATAAATTATAACTTCTTTTTACATCTGTAAAAAAAAAATAGCTCCACTGAACCTATGGTATTCCAGGAGATATTAAAGCTCCCATATTTACAGATGACATTCCAAGTGCTATCTTGATTATATTTTTCCCACCCATGTTATAGAAGGCTCCATTTTAGAAGCCTTAAGGAAAGTGGAAAGGTGGAAGAAACACTCCAAACTTTCCCATAATACTTTTAAGTAATTGCGTTAGTTACAATGAAATGCCTGTCTTTGCATTAAAAAATGCTTTGGCTCAGCAGATCTCTTCCTTTTCACAGCATCCCTTTGAGTCACCCACAGTCTGCAGAGAGCAGAGAGGCGGCAGAAAGACAGGGGCTATTGAACTAAGAAGACACAGTACCCGCCACCCTTCATTCAAGACTTCATCTAATAAAGGGAGATCACTTTACAACGTGCAGGCAAGCAGACATTACTCAGACTGTGGCTAAAATCATCAGCAAGAAACTCTGCCAGGAGTACCTTAGTGTAACACGAAATGGTGCTGGAGTGTGTGTGTGTTTCAATCACTGTAATTTTTTAAAAAATCATTTCTCCAGTTTGGGTATGTCAGTAGAAACAAACTCTTCCTTTAAAAACGTCTCCAGAACATTTGGATATTTTAATGCTAAGAGTAGAATGGAGTGATATTCGGAACAGATGGGAAATGCCACAAATTGCTGGGGATTAGACTCCAGTGCATCGTTATCAATCAGGAGTGACAACTTCCTCCCCTCCATAGCCAGACAAACTGATTTACCTTTGGCGCAAATGTCAAATTAGCATTCTAGGAAAAATACAGGAGAGGGACCATTTATGTCAGGAATCTTTTTATTAAGAAAGATATCATGGATCTGGCATTTTTCCTTTGAAAGGGGAAACTGAAAATAAATGTCTGTATTGCTTGAGCAGATATAGGTGGTTTCCTTCATTCAAAAAGTATTTTTGCTCACTTTTCCGCAGGTTCCAGACCCTGAGAATACACAGAGATGAGTAAGATGGAGGAGCTGCCCTCCAGAAGCTCATGAGAGTGTGGGAGGAGCCACTTTGGGTGAGGGAACACTAATTTCAAAGCACAAGTGAAAAAATTAAAAGGTTATCATAGTACAAAGGGAAAGGAAGGAAAAGAAATAAGCCGTGTGTGTGTGTGTGTGTGTGTGTGTGTGTGTGTGTGTCAAAGAGAGAGGGAGAGAGGTGGAGTGGCCTATAGAAAGCCAAAATCACCAAATAACCAATTGACTATATGCCCACTTTGTTGAAACCAAAGGATTAATTTGCCAAACAAATTAATGAATTAGTTGAATTTCTATAATTTATAGTTGAGCAAAAACTTTCATTAAGGAACAGCCTTTTTGAATATATGTATAATCCTTTTGAATGGATTCTTCTATGAACATGTTCTGGAAACCACAGGTAATTGTTTGGTCAGGGGATCTCGAGGTAGTGGGGCCGGTGTGGGAGAGGCAATGCCACATACTTGCCAGAAAGTGTAAGTTGAGGGCCTCAGAAAGTGTAAGAGGAGGGCCTTATGGAATGTGTCTCCAAGGACTGTGAATTTTATCCTAGGAGGCACCAAGAATTTAATAAAATGCCGTAACCAGGGAAATTTTACAGTAAATAGCATATGGAAGATTCCAAAGTGATATTTCAAAACAACCAAATATCATCTGTAGCACCAAGAAAGTGGTACTATCATCTCCTCACTGGGTTTTATGTTCATTTAGTATTAGCCTCCTTGTTTTCCTTCTCCTGTAAAGACTGCTTTTTCCATGTGAGTGTGAAAGTCAGTTTCAAATAATTAGATTTGCTTAAAGAAATAGAGTACCCTGACTGAGCTAACCTAGAAAAACATACCATGCATTTGAATTACCATTCTTCTATTTCTTAGAAAACAAAAAAAATCCATTTTTACTTTATAAAAATTGAATAATTTTTCCAATAAAGACAAAATTAATAAATACTTAATATTACTGTATAATAGAGCATTCTTATTAGCATGCAGCATGTGAATAAGCAGTTTTTTAATTGCTGCTATTGATGAGACACTGTATGTAAGAGAGTGCAGAAAAATCGGAGAAGATTATAGGCATAAAAAAGTATAAGGCATTTTACCAATAAGAATAATTTTAATGGTAAAAATTGATTATTCTATACTAAGAAAGCTAAGAGGAATGTGGTTAATCAAAATTTCCTGAATGCTAATTATATCTCCCCAGATAGATTTATCTGTAAATTCAATGCAATTCCAACATCTTTAAAAGCAGAAGTTGATGCATTGATTTTAAAACTGATATGAAATAGATATTGCAGAAGAATAATTTAAAATATTTGAAAAACAACAGAAGTTGTGGCCTAGTCCTACCAACCATCACGTATCCTATAAAGCTACAGTAATTAAACCAATGTGATGAGTAATTTGAAAAATGGGCCAATGAAAACACATAGTTTAGAAACAGATCCATATCTATAGGGAAATACAGTTTATTATAAAAGTAGCATTTCAAATTACTGGAGAGAGAAATAATGTTAACAGATTAGGAGAACATATTTATGTAATATATATTTTAAAGATATTGTGTACCTGTTTATTTAAATACAACATATTTATATAGATAATGTTTTGCCCACTTTTTAAATATGGCAAAACATACATAAAATTTACCATTTTAACCATTTTCAAGTAGATAGCTCAGTGGCATTAAGTGCACTCACATTGTTGTACAACCATCACCATCATCCACCTGCAGAACTCTTTTATCTTCTCAAACTGATTTTGTGATTGGCTTATTTCAGTTAGCATAATTCCTAAAGGTTCATCTATGTTGTAGCATGTATCAGAATTTCCTTCCTTTTTAAGGCTGAATAATATTTCAATGTATGTGTATACCATATTTTGCTTACACATTCATCTGTTGATGGGCCCTCAGGTTGCTTCCACCTTTTGGCTATTGTGAATAAGGCTGCAATGAACAGTGGTGTACAAATATATGTTTGAGTCTCTGCTTTCAATTCTTCTGGGCATATACCCAAAGGTGGAATTGCTAGGTCATACGGTAATTCTCTGTTTAATCATTGATGTTTTGTAAATATATAAAACAGAGTTGGTGTCTATAACATGCAAAAAGCCCCTAAAAATCAATAAAAACACTAAAATTCCAATACAAAATGACAAAACAAAATGCTCCTCTTCACTAATAAAATTCATTTTTGCTTATCAAATTGGCACAATTTAAGAGATTGATAATACTCCTTATGGTCAAAGTTGTGATACATGGGCTCTCTCAAATACTTATGAGAGCATAAGTTGTTAAAGTCTTAGCAGCAAGCAATCTAGCAGAAGCCATCCAATTTTTAAGTATATGTTTGCTTTTCTCAGCAATCTTACTTCTAAAATTAAGCTTATAGAAAAGATTCATGTGGTTATACAAAGATCTTTTTATGCTGTTTGCGAAAGAGAGAAAATTAGCCTAAATACATGTGATTAAATAATTGGTGATACAGTCACATTATGAAAAACTATGTAGCCATCAAAAAGGAATGAAGTAGATCTGTAGGAAGATCTCCAAGATATGATGAGAAGTAAAAAAAAAAAAAAAAAAAGCAAAAACACCTATAATTTCATTTATATGACCATTTTTACATGATATATGTAAAGTACATGTATATGCATTTAAATTTAGATCCAACTGTTGACAGTTGTTACGTTGGGGAAGGGGAGGAGGAGTGAGGAATGAAGGAGAACTGCCATGTTTTACAAAATATACATTGTTTGAACTTTTTACAGTGAGAGAGTGTTAATGTATGTTGCATTTTTGCAAAGCAATTGAGGACTAATTTAGATATGATAAACTGTGCCTATTTAAATTGTACAATCTGATGAGTTTCGACAGATATATGCATCCATGAAGTCATCACTTCAATTAAGATAACCAACCATGGATAATTTTTTTAAAAAAATCATTGAACTTCCAGTTTTTAAATATATAAATATTACAAATAAAATGACTGAGCTTTACCAATAAATAGTATCCAGAAAGAGGTGGGAAGGCCTCCTTCCCTCTGCCCTTCCCTCCCCATCAGACTTCATTTGCACACGGTGTGGAGACTGCAGCCCTCCCATTCATGCCATGTGCCATCCTCAGATGTGCTCTATAAAGCATTACCTTCCATATTTGCTGGGTTTCACTAATTCCTGGGGCTTCTGTATGCAGCCTCCAAGAGAGTAAAATAGAGGGGAAGCACAGTATCTTACAGTGCAATGGATTTTAGAAATAACCTAATTTAATCCCCTCCACACACACAAAAAAATCCCTTCTAAAATACCCCTGAGGGATACTGAACTGCACCAATGGCTATACACCTAGATTGTTTAAGAAATTATATAATATGCATATTATTTATATCATATGCAACATTCATACTATATAGATCAGCGTTTTATCAGTCTCAGCACTATTGACATTTGTGGCTGGATGATTCTTTGTTGTGGGGGACGGTCTTGTGCCTTGTAGGATGTTTAGCAACATCTCTGGCCTCTACCCACTAGATGCCAGTAGCATCCCTTTGCCGTGCATCATAACAACCAAAAATATCTCCAGAAATGCCAAATAATGATTGCCCCCAGTTGAGATCCACTTGTATAAATTGATGCTAAAGTTTACCATCAACATGAATTCTTATGTGAAACACTTCAAACCATCTTTATCCATATTTTTTATCTTAATTTGCATCCACTTTCAATAACCACGTGGGTATTGTGAGAGTAGTAATAGTGAGAGTGAGGTTACAGTAGAGAAGTAGTTTTTGCCATGTTGCAACACTAACTTAAGAGACTGACTGTTGAGATAGAGTTGGGTATAAAGCCAAAGACAGCACTTTAAAGAAAAGGCTAATTTGATCCCTTGTCAAGGCTGCCTGTTCTCCACTTCTCTGCCGTTCTTTTTCAGCAGAGTTTTAAAGAACTAAACTGGATAACTCCAGTCCTTATACTGTGCCTTATTCTTTCTTCGATTTTAAGTTAATTATAAGAGAACACAGCAACCAAAGAATTAACGAGCCATTCACATGGAACTTGAATCTGAAAATTATCATTCAACGACTACATGTGACATTTAATAATTTCTCAGACTTCATTCCGGAAAATGGAAGAATGTTATCAAGTGTAGCATAAACCTGTTTCTCACATCCTTAAGATACCCTTTAAAGATTCTTTTTTAAACAGGATTTCTAGTTCTATTGTTTTCTCAACATGTGATTGAGGTAGATGTAATATATATTCAATATATGAAATTTAACCTTCCTCCCTCAAATAAACCCTTTTACTTTAAATCAAAATAAATAATAAATGACATCCACAGAGATTTGATAAAGACATCCTTTTGTCATCATTGAAGAAATACAAGTAGAGGTTATTCAATCATTTAGTGTTTTGGTAATGTAGCTTCAGATTTAATGACACAGCTTAATGGATGGTGCTTGAAAAGTTTTGATTATTTAGCAGTGAGCAAGGTTATATGACTTCTCTGAAAACTAGAGTTTAGATTGCATTTGCAATCAGTTCCAGTTAAAGCAAAATATAGAACCAATTATAGAGATGTCCATAATGGGAAATTTAATATATTAGTGAGTTCTTAGTTTTATAGCTTTTCATGCTCTAACTTCTAAAATAAAATAACCTCTCATGTTCATAATGTTATAATATTAACATAGTGTCCATATACTCGTTCAACACTGTGGACGGCTCCAGGCTAAGTCCACTACACACATTAAATTAGTACATCTTTAGAGCTCCCCAAATGTTATCCCCTTAGCTATGGTGACATTGGGCAAGTTCTACAACTTCTCTAGTCTCAATTTTCTCATGTGTAAAATGGGATAATAGTGGCACCTTCATCACTGGGTGACATAAAAATTAAATATTTATTAGTAGTAGTGATAATTTTAAGAGGAATGGTTCAGCATAGTATTTAATTT